GGGGGGGGGGGGGGGGGGGGGGGCATCATTTTTTGATTCATGCGTGCCATCCTTCTTGTGCAGGGGCCATGCTAATCTTCTTTCTCTCTCTGTATCGTTCCAATTTCAAGTTTTAACTGCGTGCCATCCTCTTCTTGCGCAGCGGCCATGCTAATCTTCTCTCTCTCTCTCTCTCTCTCTCTCTCTGTGTACCGTTCCAATTTTGAGTTTTAACTGCGTGCCATCCTTCTTGCGCAGCGGCCATGCTAATCTTCTCTCTCTCTCTCTCTCTCTCTCTCCTCTCTCTCTCTCTCTCTCTCTCTCTCTCTCTCGTTCCAATTTTAAGTTTTGACAGCAGTCCCCGAAGGACTGCTTTTCCTGTTTCTGCAATTAGATGAGATCTCTCTCACTCATTGTTACCTTCATACCGACTGGGCTGGGCTGCCTAGCTCAGTTGGTGGTACACACATTCCATGCACTGTTGACACACACAGACCTGAGTTCAGTGTTATGGAATCAAAGGAGTGAAAAGTAATTTGTACGTCGTATGAAAGAGGCCGGTGTGCCTGGATCATACGACACTGGCTGCCCTTCCGAAAAAAAAAAAAAAAAAAAAAAAAAACTCATTTGTAAATTCAAAGTTGTTTTCACTCATTTGATTCCAGAGGAGTCCGAACTCCAGTGGAATAAAATGAGTGAAAAAAAAAAATCAGAATTTAGTAAAATGTAGATGGGGCCAAGTCAGCTCAAACATGGATATCTGAAAGGCCGTCGCCTTTTCTGAAATAAAAAAGCGAAATTTTCAAATTTTGAAGAAAAAGAAAAAAGAAAAAAGAAAAAGAGATATCTCAGATTGAAGCTTTGGCTGTTTCTGGGATTAGAGAGAATCTCACCTCACCTACTATAGATAAAAGCGGCTGGCTGTCCAATTTCTAATCCTTGTGAATGCAAAAAAAAAAAAAAAAAATACAAAATAAATAAATAATAAAAGTAGCAGATGTAGAGGAGTATAGAGAGACGATAAGATGCAGACGAGTAGCAGCCTGCAAAGATCTACAACCTCAGATGATGGATGGCTCTCCCTGATCACATGGTGCATGGCCACTTTTTATTATTATTATGATGTTCTTTTTTTTTTTTTTTTTTTTTTTTTTTTTTCTAAGATTTCTCGATTTATGCGTGTCATCCTTTGCGCAGGCGCCGTTGACTAATTTGCCCTTCTCTGTCTCGTTCCAATTTTAACGGATGTCCCCTAGGACACATAGCCACTTTTTATATTAGATTGTTAGTCAACGGCAAAAGTGTAGAAGCGTTCTGATCAGTTTCTTAATGTCTGAAAAGTGGACTGGAGCATTTGTCCCAAAAAAAAAAAAAAAAAAAAAAAAGAAAAGGAAACGTTACCCCCCACCTGCCGAAAACGCACCGCAACCACTTGGAAT